AGAAAGTCTGGAGTTACAAGAACAGAGGCCATACTTAACCAGTTTTCTATACAGCACTTCCTAACACTTGGGCAATAGCTAAAACCCAGATTGCTTAGAAAAGCATTCCCACAGACCAGAAGCGCATGCATTCAGATCGTGCTCATATAGCTGATCTTTAGTAAATCATTTAACTTGTTCTGTGCCTCAATTTTCCCCAGCTGCAATAATGAGCCAGCTCACACAGGCACTGGGAGCGAGCTAAGGACTTAAGTGGCTGGTTCTGTACCAGTACTGGGCTGGGGATTAGCAACTTGCTAAGCTCTTTGAGGTCTGTCAGCATAACCTTATTTCAAAATCAGTTTTCCCTTTCAAATCAGATCCCTCTGACCTGTGTGCTGTGCAGCCCCGTCGCTCCCTAGCCCAGCTGCAGCGTCTCCAGGACCGGAGGCTCACCAGGTCAAAACGCTTCACTGGGGCTTTAGTTTGTGAAATCCGCAGCCAAGCTCACCTCTACATGAGGAACTGAGTATCAGCAACACCAGTCAGGGCCTTTTGGATTTGCTGAATTAGAAGTAGGAGGATGAATCTGAACTAAGCAGCCCTCTCATGGAAAAAAAAAAACTCTCAGGAGAGCCTGGCAGCTAAAGGAAAGAGCAAACTAACTTCAAGGGGACATAGGGTAGCAACCAAGCCTCAATGACCGAGGGGTTTCAGGGAGCAGACTAAGATTTTTTTTGCCTTTCCCCCATGTAGACACATCTACATTCTCTCCAGTAACTCACTCTGCCAGGACCGTGCTCAGGGCTTCGGTCTCTCTCCCACCATCCCCAGCTCCCCGGGCAACGCTAACCTGCTTGGCAGCTCATTTTCCCAAAAGCCCCCGGCACTCACAGCGTTTCTTGCTTGAGAACAAGTCTTCCAGTAGCACAGCACGGATGTTCACCCTCTCGCTCCCCCAGATTCAGCTGTGTCTTTGCCACGAGGCTCCTGATCAGAGGCCACCAGCCTCTGGGTGGGTCTGGCTGCAGCTCCTGGCTTTTGGGAACAGCCTTTCCCCAGCACTGCTGCAGGCTCCTCAGCTCACCTTCCACTCACCCATCTATCACACAGCTTGCAGAGCTCACACGGGTCCAGCTAGGAAATAATAAGAGCAGATAGCAAAGATGGACATAAGAAGAGAAAAAGACCTCACGCTCACCAAGAGGATTCTGAGCAGTCACTACCAGCCTAATGTCCTCTTCCTCCCCTTCCCTTGACTGAATCAATCCAAACACAGCTCTACAGAGAGAAATACAGCTTGTGTCCCACCCTTTATGGCTTCCTGGGGTGGGGTGACCCCAGCTGAGCCCTGTCCCGCTCATCAGGCAGGGCCTGGAGGGAGGGGGCCAAGCACCTGGGCAGCCGGCAGTTTGGGCACCAGCATCTAACCCTTTCCTTGTCAGCCTGTGTAATGCGTCGGCCCATCACTGTATGAACGAGCATCGCTGGGGCATGTTTCTGCTGAAAACCCTGTCCTCCATATTCAAGAGAGGGAGCTGAGCCTGCCCAAGTCCCTGCCATGGGGATGAGCAGGGCTAAAGCCGTCTCACTGAGGAAAAGGCGACGTCCTGCCCCCGTGCCAAGGGCAGGTGTCTCCTATGGCCTAACCCAGGAAACCTCAGAAGGGGCAACCAGTGCAGTGACACCGACGTGACATTTCTATTCCCAGCTGCAAAGCTCTGTGTGGGGCTCAGGTCCGTGCCTTGCCCGGCCGCTCCTCCGCTCAGGCACGATGGCACCGAGTGCCTCCCACTCGCGTTGTGGCTATTCAGCGCCTGGCGCCCAGAAACCTTGTTGTGAAAACCCCGTCTCTGCTCCAGCAGTTCATTTCTCCACCCCGTAGCTCGGATGAACCCTCGACACGAGGCTGTGCGAAGCAGCACGTAGCGCTTCCCAGTGGGGCCAGGCACCTGCATGCACCCGTCTTGGTTTGGAAGGGTCCCACAGCTCCTGCCCGTGGTGGCAGCGGACGCAGGGGGTCGGCGTGCCCGTGCGCCGGGGCGGTGGGCTGGTGGCTGCCGGCCCTGCCCACCCGCAATGGTCTCATGCTTCCTTCTTGTCTCCAGGCTGGCTCAGGTGCTCCGATCACCTGCTGCTTGCGGGAGCAGGAAAGCAGCAACTGAAGATCGAGGGGGACTTTTGGTTTACTCAGATGACAAGAGACAATTTTGGTTCCCCAAAAGCCAAGGAAACAAAGCTGTCAGGCTTTAATGGTAGCTTGTCTCCCTCCTGCAGCATGTTTATGGGCAAACAAGCTGCAGATCAGACCAGGCAAACAGCAGCAGGTGAGGCCAAATAACAATAATTAATAATTAATGGCGAATGTGGCTATGTTTATTCTTGTTGTACTGAGGCAACGTTGTCTAATGGATGAAGCACTGTTACAGGACTCAAGAGACCGGCTCAGTTTCCAGCGCTGCCGCTAACCACTGAGTGATGCTGGGCCAGCCACCCGTTCTGTTTCTCCCTTCGCACTCTTTGTGCCCCGCTGCTGGGGGTGCAAGCTCCCCGTGACACGGGCGGCCCTGTTCCATGCCTGCACGTGCCGAATGTGATGGGGCTTTGCCTTGGCTGAGGCCTCGAGGCAGAAGAGCAATGCCAATATTCATGTTCTGTTACGGATGCCCGGTGCCTGCACGGTTTGCTTGTGGCACGGAGCAGGGCTCACCTGACTGCCCTGGGCATTAACCTTCACAGCGGTAGGCTCTGGGTTACAGCTCTCCGGGGGATTTGTTTCTGACAGTAGCATCGTTCCTAAAAATGCCAGTACGTGTTTCAAAAGTGTCGTGGTGTCTCCATGTCATCACCCTGCTGTGCATCGGCATCCATCCGTGCCTTCCCACCGCCCTGCCCTGCACCTCCCCGCACGCTGCTGGTGCATGTGGGATGACTCGCAAACACGCTGGAGCTGTATCGGACCGATCTCAGCCTGGTGTTCCACAGGCTCCAGTGTTAACTCACACTGGTGCCAGCTGGGTTTGCCTCCTCCCCAGATGCCATGCCATGTGTGTGGTGAGGCACGATTCCCCTCTCTCCTGCATGGTTGTTCAGTCCCTCGTGTGTACGCAGGTCCCCAGCCACGCATGCGGCTTGAATGCACGCCACCGCACGATTTCAGGCTTGCACAAATATGCGAGTATATAAATTACGCAGAGCTCTTCGTGGACAGACAAAGTGTTTGATACTACAAGAAACACCAGCTCGCCAGGGGTGTCTGGTTTGGGGGTGGCCCTTGCTGCAGCAGAACCCGCATCCGCTGGGTACCTGGACCTGAAGTGACACATGCCTTGGCAGTAACACATGGATATTTGTAAAACATGCTCTGACTTTTTATTTTAAGGGTGTCCCCTAGAGACAAATATAACCTGTTCTGGGACTGTGGAAGAAAGCTTTGAAGCTGCCGCTTCCTGGAAATAGCTCTGGTTTCCCACGTCGCATGGTGGTGTTCCCATATTTGTTCTTCCCTGAACGTCCCTCAACCAGCTACAGTCGTGGCAAACGCCAACACCGCAGTCGCTGATGCCAGCGGGGCACCAATGCATCTTGCCCTTTAGTCCCCTGACTTTGTCCAAGTTTCACACTGAGAGGAAACTTAATGTACCTTAGCTCCTTTCCATTCATCTTTTAGTCTTAAAACATCAGCCATTTTTATGTAACATGTGCTACTTTTTTATGGCCATATTAACGAGTTGTTGAGCTGTATTTACAATATGCTGATTGTAAGCGCCCCCTAATAGGTCCAGTCTACGTACCCTCCCCAAGTAATTTTCGTGTTTTCTGTTTCATTTTGGGCATGTGTATTTCCTTTACAAAACCTGCATCTCGCTCTGGTATTCGTTGCTGCGTTGCTTGCAGGAACCATCTGAACGTGCATTGTGGAGCAGTCATTACCGAGGAACCACAAAGAATGCCAGGGCTAAAATGATCTGGAGCGATGGCATTTGCAGTCCTCTTTGGATTCTTTCAAAACCTGTTTTTTTTTCCAGAGTTAAACTGGTTATTAATTTCAGAACCTAAAAGCCAAAGAGATTTGGCACAAGTTTCAGCCACAGTTTTAACCTATAAACCTTTATTGCGTCTAAGAACGTCTCTTACTGGAATGACGTATGGGAAAACCATGCCCACTTCACCCCGGGTGTGATGATGCCATGGGCCCGATGCGATGCTGCAGTCACCGTTGCCTGTCTAACCTCTTGCCTTAACTGACTTTTGCCCATTAAGTAAAAGGAAGTCTGTGCCGGATTAATTGGGTTTGATCTTCTCAAGCTTCCTTTAAGCCAGGGGTGATGAAAGTTTAGGGCTGCAGCTTGTTGCGGAGCTAATCCCAAAGCTGAAGTGAAAGTAAGTCTTTCCACTGGTTCCTGTGGGCGCATACTGGCAAACACGGCTCTGGGTCACCCCAGCATCGCCCGGGTTTTATGCAGGGCACGAAGGTCGGAGCTCAGCCCTGCTCACCCTGTCCGGTGGGACGCAGCCGTGTGCCTGTGCAGAGCTGGGCTGCAGCTGCGATCCCGTCCCAAAGCCGGGAGAGGAATGGCACCCAGGCCAGCGTGAGGACCCAGCGCTTCGCCCTGCCACCCCACCTCCACGGAGTGCCCAGAGGAGGCAGGGAGGGGAAGCTGGTCACAGGTCCAGACAGCGATGCTGTGAACAGTCCTTAGCCTTCCAGGACATCAGCCCAAAACCTTGGGTTTAATTACAGTAGAGCCGGGAGGCGTGGGAAAGCAGGCGAGAGCAGAGTCAGGCTTCTTTCATTTTTTTTTTTTCCTCATTTAGTTTAGTTTCATCACCCCACCTCTCTTCTTTTATCGAGGAAAATACAAACCTAACTGAGATATCCCAGCCAGCCACGCTGATGTCTGCGGATGGCAGTGCACGGGTGCTGGGGGCTAGAAAGCTGCCAGGAGAGTCACCGAGCGGCTTCCCTGGCTCTGGAGTCTCTCAGCCATGGTCTCCTCTCTCCCTTCCTTGTCTCCCAGTGCCCATCCCCTCGAAGGCCAACGGCACCACCATTTCCACCCTGTCAATGAACAAAGATGGCCTGATCGGAGGGGTGACGAATCCCAACGAGGTCTTCTGCTCCGTGCCTGGCCGCCTCTCTCTTCTCAGCTCCACCTCCAAGTACAAGGTGACCGTCGGGGAGGTGCAGAGAAGGCTCTCGCCCCCCGAGTGTCTCAACGCCTCTCTCCTCGGTGGAGTCCTCCGCAGGTAAGCTGCTCCTGAGAGCCCTGGGACAGCCCAAGGACGCAGGGCTGCGCTGCGCGCTGAAATGCAGGGGGTAATGCCAAAGCAAGTTTTGTGTTCAGCACCAGTTCTGACCTCTCAGATTAACGGAGACGAGAAATTACTGGTGTGTGGTATATCGGGGAATAGCATTTTTGTTGCTTTTTCTTCTTTCCTTTCAAACCTAAAAGCTTAAACTGGAATTAGTTATAGCTATTTTAACATTAATTACATTATAATTTTTTTCCTCTCCTTCTTTTCTCTTTTCAGAGCAAAATCAAAAAATGGGGGTCGGTGTTTAAGGGAAAGGTTAGAGAAAATCGGACTAAATCTACCTGCAGGAAGGCGCAAAGCTGCCAACGTCACCCTGCTGACATCCCTCGTGGAAGGTAAGAGTTGCTCTCCACTCCCGCGGAGGATGGGAGTGCCAAAACTTCAATACCCTTCATTTGCAGCTTTCCACAAATGAGAACACTTAAAACAAAGTATGCAGTGGTCACCGCCGACTGAGACTGGAAATATCCCCGTGTAAGTCTCCATGCTGATTCAAGCATGTCTGTCTTCTGAAACTCGGACATTTCTGTCGGACCAGTCACAGCCCTTTAGGAAAAGGCATCCACAGCCTGAACGGGGCTGCGAGCTTCCTTTCGGCAGTGTCTAAGTGTACCGTTCACTTCTGTGAACTGGTTCTAATAATGCTAAGTCAGAAACCAAATATAAAAAAGCCTTGAATAAAGCTGCCAAGAATTTAGCAGCTGTTCTGTAGCACTGTGCGCCTGCTTAGGACACAACTCAAGTGCTGCCGACCGTGCCGCCCTCCGACAGCATCGACCTGTTCTGTCGAGGCTCCATCACCACCCTCAGGTCCGTGTCTTGTCCCCCGTAAGAAGGAGATGCCCCGTATCTGAGTCCTGCCCTCCTGCCCTGGGGCAGCAGGGGACAAGTGGGACATCGAGGAGATGCCGCACAGCTCTGAGGTCTTGCAGGTGGAGGGAAAGTTTGTAGTAGCAGTCCTCGGAGCGTGGCATTAAAGGCTAAGCTATGGAAAACGTGCTATGGGCAGCACAGCGTGCGACCTGCCCTGACGTGTGAGGTGCCCCTGCTTAAAGCCGCTTGTTTGTTTGCTCCCCTCCTACTTTTTGCACTATGGAAATGATGATGTCACCACTGCATCTTTGGAGAAAAGGACACGGGATGCAAACAAATGCAATGACAGCTCCGACTCCCTTCGAGCTTTGGAATCCATTGTGTTTGCGCCCAGCGTGTTGGAGGCAGCTGCCTGCAGTTTCTGAATAGAAAATCATCTCCATTGTTGCCAGCAAATTAAACGACCCGCTTCATTAGGCGGAGGTTGTTACTGGGGGCAGTTGGTTCGTGCTGAATGAAATGCTGATTTCCATTAAAAGAAAAGAAAGAAAAGAATGAAAGAAAGAAAGGAAGGAAGAAATGTACATTTTGATTTCAGGTGGCTGCTGATGTTTTGGTTACCGCTTGCCAGCTCATAGTAAATAAAAGAGTGGTGCCATGTGTGCTTGATGGATATAATTTCCTCCTGCACATAAGTGTTATGGTACTGGGAGATGTTTCACCCAGAGGAAGGTGCTATTGCATTGTCATTACTCAGCACACAGAAACTGGCTTGTGCCCCTATGCCCCAGGCACCCTCTTTCTTAGACATTTGCTCTCTTGGTTTAATTTGTTTTCTCCCCTCTGCCTTCCCAATGTCTGTTCATTTAGAAAAAACACGGGGTGGTTTTTTGAGTGCTAGTGGTATACTTTTTCTTACACTGACCCACGGCCATTCATATAGATGGGGGAGAATGGGTACCGGGGAACCCAGCGAGCGCTACGAGGGCTGCAGGTGGAAACACAGCTTCCTTTGGGAGCCCTTGCCATGTACACCGAGCACTTGCCCTCTTGGGCACCTGCTCCATGGGAGTAGCTCCAGCATGGACCCAGGGGAGCAGTAGGGCTATATTTCAACTTCAGAAACATCCTTAAGCTCTCAGAAAGAGGCGTGCCTTCAGACAGGCTCCTGTGGCCCCTCTGCCTGCCGTGGCCTCCTGCCCCACGAGCGCTCTCCTCCCCCGGGCTCTGACTTGGTGTGGCTTTAACACCACTTTCAAAAGCTGAACCACCTTGTCCCCTCTGCCGAAACCTCTCTAAGCCAGCATCCAAATTGCCTTTAAAACATTCAGCTGTGTAGCCACTTGCACACACTCATGGAGGAAATAAATCCTGGCTCCAGGCTTGGCTCTCGCTGCGAGGTCACACAGCCTTTTTTTATTGTCACAATAACTGTTTTTCAGCAGCTATTACTTTCTGATTGTTTTTTAACATACAAACAACTGCAGTTCCGATTCTCTAGGTTTACCTTATCGGCTCCTTCTTTAGAGGAGATAAAGTGGAAAGTATTATTGTTACACGGGAAGCACAGACACTTTCCCATAACATGGCTTCACAGACTGAGCTCCGGGAGCTGGGAGACTGTGATGGGATCTAGGTTAATGCTATTAGGATGGATGGCCTAATATGTATGAGCAGCAGGGGGGCAAGTCAAATTAGCTCTGCCTGCCCAACCAGGATTTCGGGTGTTGGGCATGATCAATTGCCATCAGCTCTGATTATTTCCACGGGGATGCCTGGAGATAGATCAATTCCATCAATGGGTGGGCATTTCCACGGGGTGATGGATACGCTGCCTGCGCGTCCAGCCCGAGGGCCCCTGCTCACTGCGGGAAGATGTAAACCCCTTCCTTCTGCCCGTTTCTCACATCCCTGTTTTGTCTAGCAGTCATGGAGCTAAGGTCACTTTTTCACCCTCCAGCCCCTGTTTAAATCTCTGCTCAATTTGGAGAGGCCAAGCAGGAAATTTTGGAAGAAGTAGGGAGAGAAAGATGCAGCAAGGGAAGCCTCCAAGTGAGAAACACCTCTGCCACCCAGAGAGCTCTTGGGTGGCAAATGAGAAAGGAAAGTGCTCCAGTCCCGGCAGAAATAAGCCACATCAGTGAGATGGCTGAATTTGCTACAGAAAGTGCTCCCCTTTCACATGGGTGTTGACACAGCTTGTTAATCTGTCCTGCTCGTAGGCGAAGCCGTTCACCTGGCTCGGGATTTTGGGTACGTGTGCGAAACGGAGTTCCCAGCCAAGGCGGCGGCAGAATACCTCTGCCGACAGCACTCCGACCCCACGGAGCTCCACACCAGGAAAAACATGCTGCTGGCTACCAAGTGAGTACAGATGGCTATGAGCCACCGCTGCGTTAGGTACCCGCAGGCCGGAAGGGCAGCGTTAGCCCTGAAAGCTTACTCTTCTGCGGCAAAGAGATGGTCTCATACGCTGCATGCAGATCTGAAAGACGTGCAGCAAGATGAATAATTTGCATGGATTTAAGGGCTTGCTCCTACATGGGAGAGGTTAACCTAACTCCAGGGAGCATTTCGGTACTGCCACACGTGCCCCTTCAAAGCAGCAGCATCTGCACCAGCTCCAACTCTGCACGCAGGGGCTTTCCCCAGGCTGGGGCTGAAAACTCCTTGGGGGGGAGGCAGCTGCTCGGGCAAGGAGCAGGAAAAGAGACGTCAAACATACCTATGTCCCTGCAGCTTTCCAAGAGCATTTATGGTAACACAAACCTCTCTCTTTCAGGCAAATTTGTAAAGAGTTTGCAGACTTGATAGCCCAGGATCGCTCGCCGCTGGGGAACAGCCGCCCCTCACTCATCTTAGAGCCCGGCGTCCAGAGCTGTTTGACTCATTTCAGCTTGATAACCCACGGCTTTGGGGGCCCAGCCATCTGCGCAGCGCTCACAGCCTTCCAGAACTACCTGGTGGAGTCCCTTAAGGGGCTGGATAAAATGTTCATGAACAGCACAGGGAACGGGCACACAGCCGGAGACTCCAAAGCGTCAGAAAAAGAAGTGAAGCATCGGAAATAACGCGCTGTCTCCCTCCCTCTCCCCAGTGTGGAGCTTTCCCTGGTCACGCTAGGAAGGCTTAACAGCACTGGGGGGGAAAGAGGACCCAGTGCACCGTTTTCTGAACTGCTACATTTGAACTTGGGATGAGACTCATAAAGCAAACAAAGAAAAGACAAAAAAGAAGATTTAAAGAATTTAAGAAGAAAACAACTCTAATGGACGTAGTGAGATTGAGAAAATAAGACAGGTTGATGGCTTTTGGGTTTTGCCTTTTTTTTTTTTTTAAATCGTGGATGCAGGAAGCCAAGTCATGTGCAATTTTATTTTGTTTTGTTTTTTAAAAACCCATAGTGAAATCCTGACGCGCTCCAGGAATTTGTTCCAACTGAAAAAACTGAGAAGAAAGAGCAAAAGCCTCATCAATGCAAGAACCAGAGGCACGAGCAGCAGAGGGCAGGGAGTTGGATCACTGGCTGTACCTGGATTTATCAGCTGGTTTGACAGGCAAACACGGAGGAAACCTTCCTATTTCCCCACCTACAGCCCAGTCCTCAAGCCAGGCCAAGAGAAAATTGCCAGCAGAACTGCTTTGGATTTAAAGCAGTTTCAGACTTCGTTTACAGTTTTTAAACTGAGACTCAACGTGGATTTTCCCTGGGGCTGAGGATCCCTGAGCCGTACCACGAGGGGAGGAACAAACCGCACACGTGATGGTTCCCAGGGCAGGAACCGATCGAGGAGAGCCTTCCTGACTGCTATGGTCACAGCTGGGGATAAAGCAGGTTAAGTTAAACCCAGGACTAATTAAAACTCCACAACCTACAGATAACAGCACACAAGTTTCTAAAAATTAATAATAATTAATAAAGCACAAGGAGCAGAACTTGAACCAGGCCAAACTGAACTGTTCTAAATCTGTATATATTTATTTATGTGTAATTAAAATCTGAAAGTTTTAAAATGTCCAGTGCAAGTTATTTATATCAAATTGAGTTGGGTTTTTTTGTTTTGCCTTTTGTTTTGTTTTTTCTGAAAGATGAAAGTCTCTGGATTTTCTGCCATTAGAAATGGGAATGAAGTTTTGGATACACAAAACCGTAGCATGGACAAGATAGGCTGTGATGATAATGACTATAGAAGTTCTGCAGGATTTTGTACTTGCTGTTGTTTCTCTTAATGCTGCAATAGATGTACAACACCCACACCACAATGTCATTCTCATTATCTTAATAAACCTCTTTTTATTTGAAGAAAGCACCTCCATCGTCTTTGTGAACAAGGATCCTTCTGCCTCTGTGGTGGTATCTTGAAATATTATATAGTTTTAAGAAACAATATCCTCCAGTTTCATGGCTGACATTTGACTGATCTGTGCAGTCACAAATAGAGAGTTCAGAGAATGACAGGAGCTGGCGTTAATGCCCTGATCTCACAAGCCATTGCAGCCGAGCCGGCCGGCGCCTCTGGTGATGCTGGAGATGAATAGTAAAATGATGTGTTTGCAGATGTTTCAGAACCACTTAGGATAGTCAAATCTAAACCTGTCTGTGAAGAGCTGCAGAAGGACCTCATGGTATCAAGACAATGAGTGATAAATTAGCAGATAAAATAACCCTACTAATCTATATGCAATGAAGCTCTCTAAATTAGCTGCTATGTTTGTGGCATTATTAAGGATAGGACTCGGAAAACAGCCACCTCCTACTCGCAGGAGGCTGGAAATACAAACAAAATGATGGGAACTGTTAAAAAAGGATTAACAAACCAGAAAACGGATTATAGTGCATGACATACATGTGCTTGCATGGTATTCCTCTATCTTGAATGCCACTTGCAGATCTGGCCAGCCCAACTGGTAAAGCCACAGAGAAAAGCAGCCAGGGAGATCTCAGGTGGGAACTGACTCCTGTGCGAGGAAAGACCAAGGGATTAGAGCTGCACCACTTGTAAAGGACACAAGCGGTGTACGACAGAGGCGTGGAGAACAACGGTATAAAAGAATACAAACAGGGAATGATGACACTAAAACTAGAGGCAGAACGCCAAATGAAATAGTCAGGAAGGAAGCAGGTTTAAATGAACAGAAGACAAGTAAGAAGCCGTGGCATTTCATGGAAGCAGATGTGTAAATGGCTTTTGACACAGTGGAAGAGGGATGGTTTTAAAGGGCGTGTCTGGAGTGTTCCCTCCACATCCGTTCCTCATCACGGCTAGAGACGAGGCAGATGGACATGGGTCTGAGTCATTACAGCACTCGTAATATTGGACCTTTCTCAGAGTTGTACCCATCAGCTTTGCATGGAGGTTGCAGAATAGGCTGATGATGATAGAGGAAAAAAAACTGTCCCAAAAGGGACCACAGGAGGTTAGAAATACAAACCTTTCTCCCTTTCAGAAAAGTGTGAAAGGAAACATTTTATGTACTAATATAATCTGTGGGGATGGCTCAAAGTCAGAAACCTGCATCTCAATTCTCCCTTCAAAAGCTTAGGGATGCATTTAAATTGGGAATTAGATTGGAAATGTCCCTTGCTATGAAGTTTGTGAAAGCAAAGACCTAAATGACGGGCTCCGCAGGTCTGGTTTTGCTCTGGACCTTCCCAAAGGAAGAGCCAGGGAACAAGGAGGAGCCAGGGAGGAGAATGAAAATACTAGAGACACATTAGAGGCTTGTTTACACTTCAAAGCTATTTTGGATAATGCAGGGTGTGAGCCAAAAGCACAAAAACTATTCCTATTTAAAATTATTCCAAAATAGGAGTGCCCTGTTCTGCATCAGCATAATCCATGTTTAAAATGGATTATGATAAAGGAGAGTAAGGTGCTTTTTTGCTACAATACAGGTTTCTCTACATGGAGTTATTTAGGATAACTATCCTGAAATAATTCAATTTGTAGACATCCTCTGGTGCGTGGTATCAGAGAAGAGCAAACTACACTCCGATACATGATGAAAGTATATGTGTGCACACTATAATATACAGGCATGAAATATAATTTCATAATGTAATCATATTATGAAAACCTGACTTGGTTAGGGCACTCTTTGAATATCAAGGAATTTTTAGACATAGCAGCAATGAGCAATACCGACAAAGAATCAGGATATGCCTACAGTAATTACATGCCACGTCCATCAGGTGGAAAACTACCTCCCTCCTCATTTTCCTCTTTGGGTAACTGCAAGGCTTTTGAATGTTTTATGAGGAACAGTCTGGTGCCTGAAAGGCCAGGATGCCACCAATTACCTTTTAATTGGGAGGAAGTTTGATGATTTGGATTCACTTGTTGATTCTGCCACAGATGCTCAAGACTGATGATGGATGTGTCATGTAGGATCAGCTTTCTAAAAGCATTGAGACTTCCACTTCCCAAAATTTTGGGCACCTTCATTTCTGCAGGCCCACAGAGATACCTGAGAAGAGCACAGCTTTCAGAGGTTGTACCAGGCCAATTATTGTTTGTAATGAGTTAGTACTGGAGCTCCCCTCCCGGCTCACTGTCAAACAAGGCCATGCCCTGATGTGTTCTTTGCCTTTCCATCCTAAGAGGAAAAAAAGGCATTTTACACAGTTCATGGCTCAACCCTGATATAAATTCCCACACTGATTACAAATATTATCGTGGGAAAATACATGGGATTGTGTCAAAGAGTAAAAATAGATTCAGGCTCATGGTTTCTATGCTTGTTATAGAACACTCTGGAATTTCAATCCTAAAGGGGAATTGAAAAAAAATCTTTTTTGAATTAAATTTGAATGAATGACAAGTCCAGGGAAACCACATGACAATCCCTGACAAGTGAAAAAGAACATTAACAAAAACTCTTCATTCCCTAACAGTCAGCTATCCCAAGGGTAAACTGAGGTTAACATTGAACTGTGACTCTATACTGTATCATTAACGTAAACAAGCAGAGGTTGTGTTGGCATTCTGCATCGCTTTGGATAGACTAAATCATTACCTTTAAGCAGGCTACCTTAAAAGCAACAGGGTAATAATAGCCCTCCATACTAAAACAACACAATAAACAGACTTTGCTGACATGTAGTTAATGCATTCTTTCATATATGAGAGAGTCTATTAAATTCCAAACTTTACATACAGAATCCAAGGAGCCACACCATCAGCAAGCAAAGGAAGTTTTTCCTGTTAGTGCAACTGAATCAAAACACCAGAACCGAAAACATTTTCAACAGGCAGTAAAACAACTGTTATTTGCAAGGGTGACAAAATGCTTGCTTCAGAGGTTATTGATTTAGTAGCCTAGACAGATAGCACAGTGTCACGTGCAGCATACAACTATAGGCTTAATTATCCTAACAGACTTTGGGAGAAACAGTCTAAACCCAGTCATTACACAGAATCTGAACATGCTGAGCCAGAAGGTATCATTTGGGTCTTCCCGCCTGACCTCCTTTATATTGCAAAGAATTCCCATTGTGGCCACCTGAGCATTGCTGCATTTTCAACAGGATACCATAAATAGCAATAATAATTCCAGACACTGAATATGCACCCAAACTTTGGCCCCATACTCGCAGTGCTGAAGCATCCCAGTAACCTCTCTGAGGCAGACAGGCAGCAAAAGTTATGCCAGTGTTATTCTGGATGGCTTCTTTGTATATTTTTATCTTGACACCTTCAGATGCTTCTCTTTTGATTCTTTTCAGCAGAGAAAAAGGCTAAATTTATACCCTGAAATTCAGAAGTATTTCCCATAAGGATAGCTTCATTTTGGTAGCAAAGGTTATAGTCAAAGATGATTTGCTAAATGGAGACAACTCAGGTTTTTTCGGATTCAGAGAAAGACCAGGCTATTGCTCCCAGTCAAGAAGTTCTGCAGCATGTCAAGATGCGTCTGGATGCTACAGCCTCCTCACCTGAAGAGTGGTCTTGTCCATGCAGAAGTGCCTTGGGTTCCCCTCGAGTTTTTCCACTGTACCTTAAACTGGCTAAAGAATCCCCAAGAGGCAGCATTTTCTTGGTGTGACTGAATGACCTGCACTCAACAAAAA